TTTTTTTTTTTTCTCTCATTCTTTTTCTCGTCTCTCGTTCATTCCATTATTCTCGATTTTCTCTTTTCTTTTCGAAAAAAGTTTCGAAACAATTTTTCTTTTTCTACGATGAAAAATAATTTATCGAATTTTCGTTAATTATTGTTCTATGACTTTCTTACGACGTGAAAGTGGCAAGTTTAATTAATCAGAGAAAGTATGAATTTTTAGAACCGGTTACGTCAACGTTACACAATTATTTACTATCGACCACGACGATTTCCTTTGAAATTGCTTTCCGAAAAATGTCTCGACCCTTCGAATTTCAAACCTATACGGAATAATATATATTTCAACTTCTTCAAAGCACACAACCGTTTTTTTCAAAATTCCATTCTGAACAAGTTTGTCCCCGAAATAAATCTATCGATCGAAGGAAACGTGTAAAAATCGAAATGACATTCGAGAGAAAAAAAAACAGAAATTTTCTGTTTGTTTAAAGAGAAGTGTTGCGACCTCGACAGTTTTGCAATCTCGAATTGCTACACGCGTTCTCTCCTTCTTTGCTTAGTGTCGTAGCGGCTGTGGAGCGAAGTGTGCAGTCCAGCTCGAATAACCGGTAGATATCCTCTCCCTCCTCTACCTCCCTACACAGGAAGCCAACGATCGTTTTTAAGCATTCGGTACGTATGTGTGTAGATCTCGCCCTCGAACAATACGGCTCGACCTCATCCTTTGAAAACGCGCGCCACCATCGTTGTAACGTTTTCTCCAACGTTTTCGCGATGGAATTAATGCTATCTATTTACTTATTTTTTTTTTTTTTTTTTCAGTCTCTTCGAGGATTCCACAGCACGCATAATCTACATGCATAGAATTTTCGATCGGAATTCCAATACGGGACAAAGGTACATAAATATAATTAAATTAATTTTCTTTCGTTATTTTGAAATATATAGAATAAATGAATAAATGAATCGATATAAAATACGGATGTTTCTTATTTTAGGAACGAGAAAGTTTCTTCGTATTATTTATTCCTTATCGAATATGGAAATTTCTCGAAAGTTTCTCAAAAAGTTCATTCACTTTTTTTTTTTAACTTTCTAATTTATTTATTTTTTATCTTTATATATAATATCAATTTCTTCGAGTGGATAATCTTTACGAAACGTTTCTTAAAAAACTTTCGCATTACACCATTTTGAATTGAAATTTTGTAAAAGAAAGAAAAATCGGCACAATTATCTTACCCAATCCATTTTTCGTCTCTTTTGCAGTCTCTTTACAAAACACCGTTGATGTCGAGAATCTCGCCGTCAAGACGAGCACATCGCGCACTATGCTGTTAACATAGGACGCGACGTTTCCGACGCACCCGCGACCTTGTACCTGACGAGCACGCCAAAGGACACCCGAAAGCAATCGCGAGCACCGTACACCGGTGCGAGGAGAGCGAGACTGAACGTTGTGCAGAGGATGGAGAGGCCACTGTTA